CAGTCCTGGATTGTGAGAGGGTGCAGGCTGGGCTGAGGGGACCCCTGCACACCCTCCCCCCCACCACCCCGCGCATGAATTTCGTGCATCAGGCCCCTAGTTTGGAAAGAATTACAGTATAACTGGTAGGTGCAAAAATAGTTATAGAGAGTTACCCATGGCCTTCCCCCAGTTTACAATGACAATATCTTACAAACCAAGAGATTAACATTGGTACAATGTTAATATAGGCCTTTTTCAGTTTTCACCAGTTTTTGCATGCACTCATGTGTGTGCAGCTTTTTTTTACACATCACCCATATTTCATCACCACAATCAAGACACTGAAGTGTTCCATAAGCAACAAGGAACTCAATAGCTCATGATATCCCTTCATAGTTGAAGCACACACCCACCACCTGGCAAACACTAATTTCTTCTCCATCTCTATAATTCTGTCATTTCGAGAATATTATAGAAATGGAATCACAAACACTATGTAACTTTTTGAGATAGATTTTTTTTTTTATTTAGCACAATGTTCTTGAGATCCATTCAAGTTGTATGTAATAATAATCCATTCCCTTTTATTGTTGACTATGATTCCAAGATATGGATGTATCACCATTTGTAAAAACTGAGCAAAAGAAATATACACTGTATCTGTGTTTCTTCACAGAAGTTGGGGAAAATCTTAAATATTCCTGAAGTAATACTAGAATATATTTTTATACATGGTGAAATCTTTGAATTAAAAATATTAATGTGCACAATTTTCTTCTCTCATAGGAATCTTTGCTATAGAGATTTCTGATATGCGAAAAGATTCTTCACATCCTTGGGAAAGGTCAAAATGTCAATCTGATTTTTTTTGCTATTGATTGCATTTATTTTTGAATCCTTGACAATGTTAAATGTATATATTAACTTTGTGCCTCTGAATTTCTGTTCTCATGTGCCATATTACAGTGATCAGAGATGACTTACTAAAACAAAAATGCATGTGGCTCTTTCTACCCATACAGTAATAGTGAGTGTAAAGTCCACTTACTTCACTATTGAATACTGTTATGTTAACTATCCGGAGTAAATAAAGAAGCTTGTAAAAAAGAAGGAAAAGTGTTCTTTACAAAACTATGTGTTTTTTACAAAACTGATTTCCTTACCTTTCTTGGTCTCTCAAATAATTGGTAGGTTATTTTTCTTTGTTACTTATCCTTTCTTGATGGGGAAGTTCTGCCAAAATAGGCACAGTTTACTGATCCTGGCCTGGGTCCCAATATGCCACTTTGGACCCAGCCTGATGTAAATTCCAGGCCATAATCTGACTTCAAAGCAGCAGATAGTAGGAGTGTGTCAGGATTTTTAAAACCATAATATTGTACCACTGATTAACATACATTTCTGCAATTGTGTTTAATTGCAGAAAGGCAGGTGATGCTATATCTGTCAAGAATGTAAGATTTTTTTAAATCTGTATTTTTAATAAGTTTTCTTTAAAACATTAAAGTACTGCAATCAATTTAATTGCCATTTTATTTTTTTATTTTTTTGCCTGTGGCAGATGTTTGTTTTCAGAGTAACCACTCCATTGGCGCTTCCTTATTTCCCCTAAACCCCCCTAAATCTCTTATCCTTTCTGTCCATTGACTTTGAATTAAGGGCCCGAACACTACTGCATTTTACTGATATTAGCTGTTTGTATTCTTGCCATTTATTTTTAAAAATCTGTCATTAATAGTATTCATAGGATGTAGACAGTTTCTCATTGTATACAGTCACTATTCAGTATGACTACAATAATGTAGGATGGGGACCTGGTTTAGGTCTTGTTTAATCATTATCACTCTGATATTTTGCCATAAGGCCATGCTTCATATTTACTTTAATTTGATTTTTAAAAACCTTGAGACTTATTCATCTAGTTCAAGACACTCATTACATATTGGTTTAAAAATTGAATAATTTAAAATATGGTGTCCTTTTATAAACAGTTTGGACAATAATATGAAAAAAGTTTTTGGTAAAAACAGTTGTTGGTGCTAATATTAAATAATCTACACTAATAAAAGAGAAACATGGTAATTGGCGTACGACTGCTACCCTTCCCATTGGCTAATCAGAAAATATGCAAATTAACTGGCAGCCAAGATGGCGGCCGGCAGCCAGGCAGCTGATGCGAACAGGGAGGCTTGCTTGCTCCAACGTTCCCAGCGGGGCTTCAGCCGGCCGAACCGCAACATTGTATCAAATACAGACGGTAAACAAAGGCCAGAAACCTGTTTTCAGCAGCCAAGGCCTCAGAGCTAAAGCTGGCCCAGAATAAAAAAAGAAAAAGAAAAAAAGGAGCGGTTGGGAGCTTCAGTCACCCCCAGCCTGAAAACAGCCCTCAGCCCCTCACCCAGACTGGCCAGGCACCCCAGTG